CGGGTCGAGGACGCCGTTGATGTGTGGGCCGGGCCTGGAGGCCCCAAGCCGGGCGCCCTCGGGGAAGAAAGCCGGAGCCCCGGCTGGGAGTCGGCGCCGCGGAGCCGCCCGGTCCTGGGCCGCGGTCGCCGGACTCTGAGCCCCGTCCCGCCAGCCCACAGCTCCGGGACCGGGAGGCTGCGAGGCCCGAGACGGGAAAGGAAGGAGGAGGGCAGGCGGCCAAAGTTAGGTCAGTTAGCTGGGGGTCTTTTGAAACTGTGTTGGGTCCTCGCAAACTGTCGCCTGCCACTGCAGAGTCACCGCGGGCAAGTTCCAGCGCTAGGAAGGCGTGGGGTCGCCCCCGTCGCAGCTAGGTCCTCCTTCCTATCCACCGTAGTCATCTGATCTCCTTCCCCTGATGAAGCAAAGTGACATTTTTGAGGTGGGGGTGGAGGTTGGCTTCTGTCGTTGGAATCAGAACCGGCCAAAGTTTACAAAAATAACCTGGTGTACGTACTTTGTATCTTGAATGTAGCGGAGTGTCATCTCACTAATTGGCTCCTTTGGTGAGACATCCAGGTGCTCAGTTGATTTCGGTGTTTCACTGGTAGATTTGCCGACATCCTCTAAAGATAACCCCGCCAGTGTTTGAGTGCTACCTGGTAGTGCGGTGGAGGTACCGCCTGACCGGAAATAGGAAAGGCCCCGGGAGCTGGCTCCTGAGGACAGATAGCTGGGTCTCATCCTGGCCCGAGTTGTATTTGGTTGATGGAGACACTGGAAACAAAAACCGTTTATTTACTGAAACCTAGAGCTAGAGAGAACATTTAACTAAAACCAGAGTGGAAATGAGCACAAAACAATTGCGATCAAGCTCCTTATCTGCTGCACTCCATCATTTTCCTAAATGAAAGGAATGCTAATCACTTCCATGTTCAAATCCCCCAAAGTTGTCGTGCCTCTAGACTTGTAGATTTCAATTTAGGAAGATATGTGAATGCATGCTGTTCCTCCAGATTTTATTGAAATTACTTGAATTCATCCCCCTCTCTCAGGTACCCTTCTACATACTTTTCCCTGACTACCCTTCATGGACTTGAGTTCTTTTCTCTAAAGCAAGTGTTTAATCTTTTTCTTCTGGCTAAAATCCTCTATGGTCTTGTCTGAAACAATTAATTCTAACTTTTAAAATTTAAAAAGAAATTATTTATTTTAATTTTATATGCATTGGTCTTTTACCTGCATGTATGTCCGATCAGTGTGAGGGTGTTGGATCCCATGGAAGGAACTGGAGTTACAGACAGTTGTGAGCTGCCTTGGGGTGCTGGGAATTGAAGCAGGTCCTCTGAAAGAGCAGCAGTGCTCTCCACCTCTGTGCTGTCTCTCCTAACTTCTTTAAAAATTTTAAAGTGCATTTCTTTTCTTTTTGGTTTTTCCAGACAGAGTTTCTCTGTGTAGTTTTGGTGTCTGTCCTGGAACTCACTCTGTAGCCCAGGCTGGCTTTGGAACTCACAGAGATCCACCTGCCTCTGCCTCCCAAGTGCTGGGATTAAAGGTGTGCGCCACCACTGCTGGGCCGTTTCTTGATGTGTGTGGACAATATGTTGTGCCACAGCATCCATGTGGAAGAACTTGTTAGTTCTTTCCTTCCACTCTATGGGTTCATTATGGTCCACTCAGGTGGGCAGGCTTACTACACTGTCCCATTCCAACTTACTTGGCTTGAAAGACCTTTCATTCTTTTGTTTGTTTGTTTTGAGACAGGATTTCTCCACTAAAGACATTTTTTTTTTTCTTCCTTTTTTTTGTTTGTTTGTTTGTTTTGAGACAGGGTTTCTAAGAAAGACCTTTCTTAGGGATCAGTCTCTTGGTCTCAACTCCAACTTAAGAGGTTCTGGATGCTTTTGCACCTAATTATTGCAACAACTACCAATTTTCCAGTTTTTATTGTGTGCTTCATATTCATGATTGTGTTTAATCTTCCTTTTGAGTTAATATTATTCCAATTCTGTAAATGAGAAGAGAATGCAGAGAGATTCTTTGGCTTGCCTCTGACTACCCCACAAAGGAGAAAATAATATGTGATGTAACTAATTTCTGTGAGTGAGTCCCAAACAAAGCTTAATGATGGTACTCACTCTGTGGTCTCCCTTTGTATGTGTGTTTGTTTAGCCTGAGAAAAGCAGTCTTCCCAATTTGCTTTCCTTCCTTCTAGAGGAGTCCTTGGGGTCAACACCCGTCCCTGTGACTGAGAACTCCTCCCTCCAATACGGAACTACATTTCTCTTTGTAACAGTCAGATTTCTGTCCTATGCTGTGTTTTCTGTTTCTGAAGGGCAGAAATTGGCTTTGTTCAGTTTTTTTCTTTTTGCCTCTTGTTTTTGGAGACAAAGGCCTTACTCTGTATTCCAGGCAGACTTCAAATTCAAAGTAATTTTCCTGCCTCAGCCTCCTGACTGCTAGAATTACAGGAGTGAACCACCAGGAACTAATTTCTTTTTTCTTTTTTTTGGTTTCTCGAGACAGGGTTTCTCTGTGTAGCTTTGCGCCTTCCCTGGATCTCACTTTGGAGACCAGGCTGGCCTCCAACTCACAAAGATCCGCCTGGCTCTGCCTCCCGAGTGCTGGGATTAAAGGCGTGCGTCACCACCGCCCGACAGGACCTAATTTCATCCTGGTATCTCCCTTGTTCAACCCCAATGACCTAGTTTGGAATCCCTAGGCTGTCAGACATCTAGGAGGGGAATTACAGTTTTTAAATTGTTTTCAAAAATTTGAGCTCAGGAAAAAGTTTAAGTACTTACTAATTCAAGTTTATTTTACTTAAGTTCTTTTTTTCCCCCTACACTCAGAATTAGTCTGTTGTCATCTTTATTTTTGCAAATGAAGCAGTTTTAAGTTTTGATAGATTGAGAGAGTTGTAACTAAGGAGGAATAGTAGATCATGGTGAGGTGAGATGATGAACTTAGTCTCCCTGGCTTCAAGTGTAAAATTCTGCATTCTTTGTCAGATTGCCTCCATTTCTTCTTCAAGGCTCCATGGAAAAGAGGGGGGGTGTGTGTGTGTGTGTGTGTGTGTGTGTGTGTGTGTGTGTGTGTGTGTGTGTGTTGTGGATGGAGAGTCAGTTCAGGCGGGAAATTCTATTTATATGGTGCTGATAATTGGCTTTGAGGGTTTAAACCTGGCTAGGTAGTTCTGGCCATTCTGGAACTCACTATGTAGATCAGGTTGGCCCAAAACTCAGATCAGCCTGCTTCTGCCTCCCAAGTCTGGGATTAAAGGGGTGCACCAGGCTTTTGTCATTAGCATTCTGCCTGGGTGTTGTCTGTGTACTATGTACTTCCCTGGTGCCAGCGGAAGCCAACAGAGGTTGGGTCCTCTGGGACTGGGGTTGCAGACAGTTGTTGAGCCACCATGTGGGTTTTGGGAATTGAATCCAGCCCCCTGGGTCTTAACTAGTGAGCCATTTCTTTAGCCTTTCAGGTTTTTTTTTTTTTTTTTTATGATGATGGTTAACAGGTAGTATAAATACAAAAGTAATAAAAAGCACAGTTTTGTCAGACAGTGGTAGCACATGCTTTTAATCCCAGCTTTCAGGCAGAGGCAGATGGAACTCTGTAGATTTGAGGCCATCCTGGTCTACAGAGTGAGTTCCAGGACAGCCAGGGCTACACAGAGAAATCCTGTCTCAAAAAAACAAACAAACAAACAAAACACCACTACAAAAAAGCACAGTTTTATATATCTTCTTTGTATCAATACCTATGTATAAATATGACTGAGAAATTATTTAGGAAAAATGAATTTGAGAAAACCTACTTTTTTTTAGGTTTATTTACTTTATGTGTATGATTGTTTTGGATGCATGTCTGTCTGTACGTCACTTGTATGAATGCTACTCTCAGAGGTCGGAAGAGGGTGTTGGGGCACTATGGAGGCAGAGGCAGGAGGATCTCAGTTTAAGGCCAGCCTGGTCTACATAGTGAGTTCCAGGACAGCCAGGGCTATGTAGAGAAAGAAAAGAAAAGAAAAAAAAAGAAAAAGAGAGAATATTGGTTCTCTTGGAATTAGAGTTACGGGCAATTGTGAACTGTCTTGTGGTTGCTGGGAATTGAACCTGGGTCTTGTTCAAGAACCAAGTGCTCTTAATTCTTGAGCCATCTCTCCAGAGGGGAGTTTTGAGAAAGTTTTAAATTTCAACGTTAGCAAGAAAGATTTACAATGTTAACAAAGCATTAAATACATTTTAATTTGCAAAGCAGCTAATTCAATATTGAAGGCAACACCTAGATTGTAACCATTGCTTCTGTCAAGAACAAGGAAATAGCTACAAAGCCCAAAGCAAATACTCTTGTAGAAATTAATTGGGCTGATCATGTGTGGATGGCCTCACACTGCACCCTGCGGCCCTCCCATTGAGTAGCTTCCTACAGGGACTTTTCTCATATGGACTTTGTGGATTTACAGACAGGGGGAGGTAGGAGGTACATTTTACTAGTTATTGTGTTATAATAGTTGAGCCACGGTGCTGAAATTTGTAGTTTCTTTCTTTCTTTCTTTTCTTTTTTTTTTTTTTTTTATAGCCGGAGGGATAGCCGTGGGTGCTGGGAACCGAACTCTTATATTTTTGGTTGTGAGCCTAGCCTTTAACGGCTGAGCTATCCCTCCAGCCC